GGGGCATAATATATAGGTTCGTACTACAGGTGTTTTCTAGAGTGACGGCCGCCTCGTTCAAGCTACTAAGAAGAGCAAAAACAAACTTCCATAAAAACTGAAACGGTTTATGGTATATTTCATCTATCTTCAGCCTTCGAAAAAAATTTCTTCGTGGCCAAACGTGCATTTAGTTTCTGTCAACAAATGTAACTGAAAAGTTGACACCCAACAAATATCTTGCGTATCAGCAAAGAGAACGGGAAACACGGAGATTGAACCGCAAAATCACAATTTTCTTCGCGTAAAAGTGTGCAACTAGCAATAGTAGCATAATATGCCATTTATTAAAAGACAGCAGGTATTACGGAGTTTTCATTCTCTTCTGTTCGCATTTGTTCACTGATGAAGAAATGGAATGCCCAGATAGCCTCTGCAGCCCTTACATAATTGTTTGGGGCTCTGTCAGGGTGGGCGAAGGCCATCTCCAAAAAAAACCAGGAGTTCGGAAGGTGTGCTACCGCAAGTTTTGGGGCTGCTTGGCTAATTTAGGCGTCTGGCGTTCCCCGCCTACTTAGAAAGGAAGCGGAACAGCGGTCAGCTCAACGTCGTCACCAAGCGGGAAATTATGCCGAAATGCGTCCTTGAACACGTGCGAGATCTTTACCCGAACCCAGCCGGGATTCGCCACAATTCATCCACGAAAAAAACTATAAAAAGGGGTAGGCTTAAACGATTTGGCAGTTTTTGAATATATTCATGCGGACTAACTATCAACAAGTACAGAAAGAAATGCAGTAGAAATGCAGAGCTCTATTGTGTTCTTTATGTCCATACTTGTCTTTCGCGCAGTACGCCAATTAAAATGAATTCTGCAATATCCGTAGATTATGCCTGGTTATGTTGTCTTTAAAAGAAAAGTAATCAAGCAAGTTCGGTATCGTGCCACAATTTGTGCATATACAATTTTATGTGGAATTCAAAGTCAAAACAGTACTTCCGCGGGAAATAATGCATCCGTCGTTCTTCGTCTTCCTGAAGCTATGAACTACCGATCTCGGCTACAGGACTTTTGGGTCCACAAAATATCACGCTCAGTAGAAAATTCACATTTTCTACCAAAAGTACTGGAAATTATTTATTTTTCAAACAGGTCGGGTGGTGATGCGTGTTTGAGTGTAGGACCGTTGACTGGGCACTGGTTCGCGCCAAGCAGTGCTTCCTTTCATGCTGCCCGCGACGAGTGTTGAAATTTAAATATAGCAGAAATAAAATCAACTGACATCCTTAGAATTATTTTAAACTTGCGCTTTCTTCAGGCATTAAGATTTTGATCGTACCTTTTATTCATTGTCGTCTTCGATGAGGGAACAACTTGCCGAGGAGGCCGCGCTGTCCGCGTACGCGGCTTGACAGATAAGGTCGCGAATGCTTTTCACGAATCTTTAAAGAGCAAGCATAAAAATGAAAGACGCAGCCACTTTACGCCAATGAAACCAACTTTATGTTTTGGGCAGACGTCTTGCGAGAGTTGCAGTATTTTAATTATGCCTAATAAATTAAATGTTTAGGACTAAGTACCAAACGTATTTAGATGTATTAAGAACCAAAATGTCATTTGGAAAGTTCTAGAGCTGCTTGATAAACACCCGATTAGCTGTTAGCAACGTGATACGGCTCGCTTGGCTTCCTTCTGATTAGTAATAAAGCTTATGAAACATGACAAAATACCCCCATCATAAACTCAATTTCGAATGTCCCGGTATTTGTTTTCATAGGCCGGAAAAAGAAAGAGATGCATGCTTTATTTATATCAGAAAAGAACTGCCCTCTGTTTTATATACAACGTTTATTGTTTTGTTTTTTTCACCTACTAGATATTACAAAGAAACGTGGAAATTAACGTTTTGTCGATGTGAGCTATGCGGCCGGGCGAAGATTGGGTTCAAGAAAGAACGCAACAAAAACCGACTGATTACCTAACATTGGTTAATTAACTTTTTGATTATAAAAGAAAACGGGATAGTTGATTTATAAAGTTGTTGGGCGTAATCGAAAGCCACCAAATTGTGCAGTGAAAATTAGCGCCATCGCGGTTTGTGTAGGTAAGTTATACGGCCAGGCGAGGATAAGGTTCAATAACGTACGCAACTAAAACCGACCGATTGCCTAAATTTGCTAATTAACCTTTTAATTAGAAAATAAAACGGCATCTTGTATTTAGAAACTTGTTGGCCATAATCGTAAGCCACCAAACCGTCCATTCTTAAAAAGATGTAACGCGCGTACACAATTATACGGCGTCCTCCTAATTTGGGCGCGAAAATATAGTTCTGATTTTATGTGGGCTCCATCTCCGCGTGGCACAGCCTAACGCCATGAAGCCAAAGCGACAAATCATGCGCATCGCTGTGACAGCGACACTGTAGAAGGGGCGAGGAGTGCGCTGGCCGAAAAGATTGCGGTAACACGATTCGCGTCCAAATTAGGCTTTTCAGGACGCCGTGAGCCACTTCATGTCCACTACATCTCTTTAAAAATGAATGATTTGGTGTTTTTGATGACTACAGATAAGGCAAAAACCGCAATTGCGTAACTCTGACGTCTTTTTTAGAAAAATGTCTATTCGTTAAAAAAAATCGCCCTGTATAAGCACGATTGTAAGGCAGTTCTTTACGTCTGGCGACATCATTACGGCATGGAAGGAGACGTTGACCACAGATCATCATACGCTGTGTATGATCTGTGGTCACTGTTGTTGTTTTTTTTTTTTGTACGAGAATGAGCAAACATTTGATACCAAATAAAATAGATTTAGCATTCACCAAATTCGGCTTGTTTACTTGATTCAAATCGATATTTGATTTGATTACACTTATTTTGTACCCCCACACGCCTACTTTATTCCCTAATGAGTTACAAGTGATAATTACATTGTTTTTTGTTGTTGTTGTTGTTGTTTTTTTGTCGTGCGAGGTCATTACAATTTATTATTAACAATCGGAGCTATGCGATTGCGCGGAGGAGGCGCATTTCAAGATATTCAAAATTGTTCTGAATGCACAAACAACCTCAAACGTCTTGCTGTTTGGGTCGTTTCCTACACGCAGGACCACTAATAAAGCCAAAACCTCATAGAGGAGACTATCTCTATCAACTCAACGCACAAACACGATGTGAAGCGTGTCTGCGTACGTTGGAAAAGAGAGACCGGCGAGCAAACCATAGCGTCGAATGTCCATGCATCAAAATGTCTGTGCACCGGAATATCCGCGCACCGAAAAGTCCCACACCGAAAAGTCTTTGCAGCAAAAAGTCCGTACACTGAAATGTCTGTGCACCAAAAAGTCCGCACCGAAATGCCCTACAGCAAAACGCTCTACACCGAAAAGTACTAGACCCACTACGGATGGGATCCTCCGTCACCTCTGCCGGTTTACGAACCATGATGATTCAGAACCACTGGTCTATGGAGCGCCATCCCTGATATACAGAAAACGCTGCTCGTACTTCCCGTTGTCGCCATGAATCCGCCTAAACAACGAAAGATGCGAAATCAGATATTTATATTAAAATTGATACTTCAATGACTACTTCTTTGAGCAGAACAAGGCATTTGTGCTCTCACAACAGCAAAGAATCGTCTTCCAAACCAATGCTAAAAAAAAGCTAATGCAACTCGTTGGGAAGAGCAAGTGCGAAGCTCGCTCAAAACAGCTACATCGGTTGGTTCAGCTCCTTGTCGCAGGTGTGCCGGCTGGCTTCTGGATAATCTTTTCAAATCCTTGAAGCTTTCATTTCCTCCACCCCAAACTTGTAAAAAAAACAAAAAAAAAACAGGCAGCTGGCAAAAAAAAAAAAATATCGGAAAATGGCGAGGAGGAAACGAGAGGTGATTTCCTTCTTTCATAGTGGCGAGAAGGAAAGTGAGGGTCGGGTTCCTTCTCTCTGCTTGCGGGCCGGCCTTTAAAAGGTATATTTACCAAGGTTTTAGATTTTATAAATACGACTATATTTAGCGAAATCGGCGTTCCTAAATTAAGAAAAAAATCAATGCTGTATATATAATTATTTTGGAAAGTTTTGATATCTAAAATTTATAGTTGAAAAACATGCGCCTCCAAAAAACCAAAAGTCACACAAAATTTAGAGCATGTAAAATTAAATTCACACCGCAATGTGAGAAACTAACTACGCATGGGCAATCATTGTATACAGAAATCGCAAATTATGTTTTAGTAAAATCATATATGCGATTTATTTGCATTAACTACGCTCGTTGAGCTGACGAGGCACCGCTGTGTCTCGTCAGTTCTTGTTATTCGTCCGTCGTCTTTTCGCGCGGCTTCTTTTTTATTATTATTATGCTTTTGTATTAATTTTCCCAACCTTCCGTCATTTTAAATATTCTCGCTTATTTATGTAGTGTTATACAACGTTTGTACGTTATGAATTTTGGGCAATTTCGGGCCGGTCTTTCGCACATGTTTTCCCGGCTCTACGGCTAAACATGTGTGCCATTTTTCTACTGAATCCTTTTATTATTATTTATTGGTTTGCTTGTTTACAAAAACAACCTCGTTTAACCAAATAAGTATGGTAGGTGCAGCCTGGTATCTATAAAGATATATTTGTTTGTGGAACAGGAAGATGTAAAAAATCAATAACGGTTGTTAAGAAAACACGAAACCAAGTTAAAAGCAAGCAGGTTAAAAATCAAAATCCTTCCTAAAGGGAGCGATTCTATATTAATACTGATTAACGTGCCACACTAATTCCCTCTGAAGACGGAGCCTTTGGCCAGTGCACTACAAATGCCAAACTGTTGTCTGTAACGAGCTTTTTGCAAAAGTGATACAGGACAGGACGCTGGTACGGTGCTCATTGAGATCGAAATAGGCAGGAGTGAGTGGTGAACATATGATACCTGTGTTCATCGGCGTGAGCGTTCGGTTCACGTGCTCCGAGCTGAAGTGCGCAAACTTGCAGCGGTTTCTATGTTGCTGATATTGTATTTTCAGATGGACGAAAAGGATGTGCTCTCTGGGTAAGGGACAACGACAAGGACAAGGAGCTGACCTTCTGCAAATTCATTTACAAAATTTTTTGTACAGTGAACCCCCTAGTCGTATATAAAAAACAGGCATGTGATGAACTTGTGCCAAAAAACACGAAACTTACAAAAAATTAAAAATACGCGCCATACTAAACCAGTGGTGTGTCAAATACTCAGCAAGAGTATTTAAAACCTAACAGAAGTCTTTAACAAAATGGGCTAAATACCCATTTAAAAATGTAGTTATAGTAGTAATAAAGTTACTTTTACTTTAAACTGTCTTGAGTGAAATACAAATATTTTGAAAATGTAGTTTAATTGCTTTCGACGATACTTGGCAAGTGTGGTGCAAGCTGATAATATAAGAATAAAAATTGGATACATGCTTTGCCATTCTAAAAAGCCCGATTAAATGCGGTAACTTTATAGGGTTGGTGGTGCTTTTAGTTCGAGTAAAGTTCGAGTGGTGCCTAGGCATCATGACCCTCAAGACTAAACTAAAGACCGGTTCACAATGCCCCCTTTTCTTCCGTTACGTTACGTTACGAAATATTGCCTTGAAGTAATCGGGACCTCTGTGCTTCATATTAAGCGAGGCTACCAGTTTAAGGAGAAAGCATGACACGCGAGGTTCGAAACACGAATGTATCGCTGACTTCTACGTAACGTAACTTAGCGTTAGCAAATGGGGCAGCGTGAATGAGCCTTTAGTCTTTCAGTGCATGAGGTGGGTGGTAATCTTCATTTCGGCTGTTGCCTATACAGCGTTTGACTTTAGGCGCAAGCAAGGCCGAAGCTGTAAGCGTGAGCATGCATGGCCCTCAGCAACGCTTGCACTACACGAGCGATCGTGCTTGTCAGGGACGCTGAGAACCCGGAGCTCGCTAATAGCGAGTTTTAGAATAGGAGGCCCCACAGCTTTGGGTGCCCCAAACAGCTTAGGGCGTCCCACTTCGTATGTGCAGAACATCTGCGCATGCCCACTGCGATGCCCCGAGCTGTTTGGGGCTCCCAAAGCTTTAGGACGCCTATTCTAAAACTCGCTATTGTAGCTTCTGCTACGCTCACAGTTAAAGTGAAGCGGAGTATAAAGCAAGGCTTTTATGAAAACACAGAACGCCACACTATTGTCTCTTTGTGAAGCTGGGCACGCTTGCCTTCAACACCACCCGGATACAAAGCATTGGCACTGAATATTTTGGGTCACCAACAGATGGGAAGCGCGCCTTCCTGCCCTTTCCACTGCTCGTTCCGCGCGCTCTGTCTATGCCAGGCAGGCCGATCTTTTTATGTTATGTGGCGTGCCACTTTCCACAAGCATCGAAGTTTTAGCATAATGCTACGCCCATCTTATACAGAAAGTTCCGATTCATCTGGTGACTGCGGTCCTTGACGGAGTAAAACATGCCAGATCTGTCCTTTCCTTTTGACCGCTGATCGTATTTCGAGCTGTGCAACACCTTTTTTTTTATTAATATTAAGCAACGTATTCCCTGCAAATCTCCTGACGTGATAGATATTATTAACTCCACGCTCTTCAATATGCAATATGTGGGGGATTCTAGAAATTTCATGAAGGAGCGATTCTATGGCCACCACAAGTCGGATTTTGTAAATAAGTAAAATACACCCGTTGCTAAACACTTCAACTGTGACTAGCATAACATCAATACGCATCTAAATACTACCACCCTGGAGAGTAATTTAAAAAATAATATCACAAGTAAAAATAAAGAGTCAATTTACATATCGAAATTTAGTTCGAGAGCTCCACTTGACATCAACATTTTAAAGGGAAACCTCCATAGGTTCTTGTATTCTACTTATTGGTACAGACAAATCCCAATCGCATCGCGTAATTTCTCAAAAGAAAGCAAGAAAGAAAAAATATAAAATAATTTTGTGTTTTTTTGTTCTTGTTTTTTTTTTTTTTGTAGGTTTACTGCTTACATGGTTTCGAGACAACGTCCCCTAACGGACCGAACTTACTAGAACTTAACCCTTCAACCAAGGCGCGGTTTGTCACCACGCCGCTGGACGTGGGGTATCCAATTACACTGAGGAGGTGGCTTACGGCCCTCACTTCCTGCGTCGCCTCCTCGTCTCCGGCGCTCGCTGTTCACTTCAATTGTGTTTATGTTTTTGTTTTTGCTTTTTGCTTTTTTCGTGACGTGGTTAGTTCTGGTTACAAACTTCGTACTTCTGTTGTTAGGTCGCGCGTATAGATAAAGCAAACACCTCCTTTCACTATATAATAATTGGGGGTTTTTGTGAATATTTATACAGCGTGTAGTTGGTCAGCCATTTCAAAGTTGCGACGAGTCACTCGCTGTAGATGAGCAATTTAGCCAGTGCAGTACAACCGCTAGCCTAGTGTCTTTAATGTGAACCATGCAGTAGTGCTTTCCCTCCACATGCTTCGAGCTGGTGTGGGCTAGTCTACTCGGCCACCAATTCCCCCCCCCCCCCCCCCCCCCCCGTTTCACTATATACACCAACACAATGTTGACACACAAGCCCACATTTGCCCACACTGGGTGTGGGCATTGCGCTTGCGCAGAAACCAGATTCGCGTGCGGCGAAGGTTCTGCGCACGCGCAGTGCCGACGGTAGCGCCACCACAGTGGCGTGACGTCAGAGACTTGAATTGTTATATATATATATATATATATATATATATATATATATATATATATATATATATATATATATATATATATAGTGTGTTTCAGAGAACTCAGGCCAAATCGCTCCTGCAAAAACTACTCATCGCAAAGAAAAAAGGCGTCTGGCGTTTTGGTCCTGGGCAATGGGCCCATATAGGAAAATTATTAAGATCCGGGATAATTCAGTTGTTAAATATTTTTGCGTAATTAACTTCCTTAATGTTGTGTTTAAGGGTATGGTTTAAAATAGAAAATTGCTAAGCATCATCGAAAAACACTAAACCAACAAATCGCAGAACGATAGAAGGCACGCGAAGCATTTTACGACTTTCTGAAAAACCGCACAAAATCGACGGGTTTTTAAGTTTCGGTTTGCTATCGGAGCGCATCTCAGCCCCGCGGTAACGCGCCCCGTGGAGAGATAGCGCAACCGACCTCTGCTGCGCTGCCACTGCGCGACGCAGCAGAGGCTGCGTCGCGCAATGTGTTATTTTTTTAGAAAATCGACTTCAAACTTGCAAGGTTTCTAAAGAAAGACGGTCAAGTTTGAAGTCTATGTTCTAAAAAAAACACCTTTTATTTGTTTTATTTTTTTTTATTTACAGTTAGGTAATATAGAAATCTGTCAGGACCTACAAACAGAAATTGTAATATATTGTTTGTATGGCCGCTATTAGGACTCGAATCTCGTGCTGTGAGAGTTTTGAACGGGACTTCGCATAGACGCTCAACCAAGCAGAATTTTGACCTATGTAAGGTGTTCAATTTAAGGTTAGTACATACCTCAATATCTGAGCGTAAAATCCAGTGAAGCAACAATATTTGTCCTAACAATATTTATTTACTCGACACTGGCTTGATTGGCAAGGTGTATGAGCTTCGCCCTATGTATTGACGGAGAAGATACGTAACGTCTAGACTCCCGGACAAACTTAAGGCAAGAGAAAAAAAAAAACTAAGTAACCCGGCATGAATCACTTAAAATAGAAATGAAACCTAAACACAGGACTAACACGTTTGAAGCCTTACACGCTACGAAATGCTGGTTATTTTACGAAATAGTCCGTACGCGCACAAAATAAACTGTACTTCCTAAGCGTCAAATACTAAATCGTACATATGTATATGCACTGCATATCTGTTTGACACAAACAATATGACAATTACTTGCCAAGTTCGTTATTTCAAACTCAAAGCCGAAAGCAAAAGGCCTTAGAGGAATTCTCTAACGATCTGCATTCCCCCGAATCGGGAGGACGTAAGCGCTGTGTCCGCACTTGTGGACACGAACTTCGAAGTAAATTTTTTTAAGCACACTACTCCAAATTTTATTCATGTTTATGGTTGGATATTGAGGTAACTGCTAACGATAAATAGAAAGCCTTACTTACATAGGTCAAACTTCTGCGCCTGTGCGAATTCCCGTTGAAAACGCTCATAGCACGAGATTCAATTCTTAATATCTGCCATACCAACAATATATTACAGTTTCTGTTGGTAGTTTCCGATACTATATTAAATAACTGTGAATAAAAAATGAAATAAATAAAAAGTGGGGTTTTCAAGAAATCGACTCCAAACTTGCCAGCTTTTCGAAGTTTTCGTTTTTCTGGCACATGTAGCGCATTATATACTTATTCTAAAATATTGAAATTATACTCAAAAGAAATAGCTTAATTGGAGATTTACGGTGATATAAAGATCATAAAAATATATTGACTAGGTCACACAGCACAGCTTGCTGAACTTTGTCAAATATGGTCGCAGAGAGGCGGTCTGACAAATAAACAAAATCATTAAGAATGTTATGACCTAGACGCTTAATTAGTATGGAAAAGCCTATGTCTAGAGTGTTCCCAGAAAGTTATATTGTTGTTGCGTAAAAAGTAGGTAAAGGGGATGGAGTGAAATACGGCTCCTCCGATCAGCTGGAAAAACGTCAGTTTCCACGTTGGCCGCTTCAACGGTCCATCACTTGAAAACAAAAAATCCGACGAAATCGCCGTTTGCATCTACTTGTATTATAGGAATTGCCCAAAAATATTTTTTTTTCGTCAAAATTAAAAAATTTGCCTCTAAATCCGCGCCTGAGTTGAGATGAAATCACCCATATATATATAATGCACGCATGTATGTTTCACGCGCTCGTCCTCCAGACCACTAGCGAATATAAATATCTTCGTGTTTATTTAACTAATAATTTATCCTGGAATATTCAAGTTGCTAAGATCATATCCCCAGCTAATTGCTTTCTTGGTTTAATTCGGCGTAACTTCAAGTCGGCTAGCTCCTTCCAACCTCAAAAGACTTCTCTATATTACACTTGTTCGCCCTAAACTAGACTTACGCCACATCTATTTGGCATCCTCACCTTTCATTTCTCACCAGTGCAATAGAAGCAGTCCAAAACCGCGCAGCTCGTTTCATTCTTTCCGATTACTTCCATTTCTCCAGTGTCACTGAAATAAA